CACTATTGAATGACCCCAGGAAGAAGTGATTCTGCTAGCGTACTAATCAAATTCCAGTTCGACATGGTCAAATAACCCTGTATCAACGGAATTCAGAAGTATATTATTTTGTATGGATCCCCAGGACACATCGGAGTAAATGAAAACGAGGAAACAGCATATTTTGCAGCCTTTGGCAGACTAGCAAGCTGCTACACCTGGGAGGTCCCTGCCCTGGATCTACATCATTGGCTCGTGCCCACAATATTAAACTGCTGCAAATGCGGAATGCTTACAGTCAGGAAATCATTTCTTCCGGAGGATTAAGGGGGATACCAGGAGATGGGAAGACCCACCATTAAGGAGGATTGACGACATACCTTAATCGCAAGGGCGTAGACAAGTTCCACATTAAATTTGTGTCAAACTGCATAATTGATTTTCAAATTTGCATGGTGAAGAGCATATTCCATATTGACTTGATAATAGTGACAAAAATCGGGTAGTGACACACCGCCGTTATGAATTTCTATATTGTATATTTCAAATCAAAAATATTGTTTATGTTCATAGATTTCACATAATCCTTTCCCCTTTGTCCTTCTCCTTTTCCTTTCCCTCTTCTCTTTTCAGAAAGCAAGTAATGGCGCTATAGCCATAAGTCATGAAAGGCTAGGACAAGAGTTAGTGCTCATGCCGCAACCGTCAGAAGAAAATGGAGCATCACTTAACCTTTCTAGCTTTGATGCTTCCAACGACCAACCAATCATATAATTAGATGTCCACGTTTCATCCATTTATTGGATTCTGAAGCATCGTGTTTAAATCTTCGATTTAAACAGGCCCGATGTTTTCTGAATCATCTTGCCCCTTAAATACTGCACAGTAGGCCTGGCCGTTTTGATATGTGTGACGCATCTTCTATGTGGAACATATATCAAATAGACAAGAAAAATGATGTAGGTATATATATCATTTTCGAGAATGCTTTCAAGAACTGGCTGTGTTGGTGTTAGATTAGATTAGATTAGATTAGATTAGCATTTATGGAGGCAAAGTTGCATGCAAAAAGTTAAACGTCAAAGTTTGTTTATCTTTCGATAGTTGCCCTGTGGGATTCAGGGTTCTTCCAGGCGGTTTTCTTCCAATGGATTGGGAGCAGTTACTCAGATAGTTTGCGATACTGTTTCGCAACATTTCGTATTTCGAACAGCTGGAAGCGCAATCGTTCCCGAAAAAGATCCCCTTCTTCCGGATGGTTACAGAAGTGCACCATCCAACGATGCAGGGATGTACGCTTGAATGAAATTTTCGAAGAGTTGATTCTTTCGCCGAATTAAATCGCTGCTATGGATCGAAAACCAGCTAATCTCCGCTAACTAACAGTTTCAGTGTTTTACTGTCGGTTGTTATTTCGATTGTCATCTATTCGCAAGATCTGGAGAAGGCTGATATGTTTTATGAATGCGATGGCCCCGCTCACTTTACTCTTCTCCGCCATATGGTTGATGGTGTGCTGATTCTTCTAAAGAAGTAAATTTTGCTGAAATCGACTTGAATTTTTCATCCTACTTCGTCTATTCTTCGAGATTTCCTTGTCATAAATTTGGTTTTTATTAACTATGAGGAACCATCTTTTAAGCTCAATTTGTAAATAGAGTAAATGGGGAGTTTATGGTGCACTTTAAAAAGCCGAAACAATAAATACTTTTTACTCTTATGCAAAAACTAATGGTTTTATGGTTGCTTTTATAATGATAGAACACGTTTATAAAGTATTTTATCACGACATTAATAAACAATTGCTAATGACGTTTATGCTTGAATTACAGAGCAGTTTTAAGGAGGGATTGAGAACTGTTTTAAATTTATTTTTAAAACAAAACAGTTTTTGACTTTCTTGCCAGACTATAAAAGGTTTTTAAAACAGCAAAAAGCTGAATTACTAAGCAGGAATGTTTTACACTTTGAAATGCTGTATTTATACTAAATGGATTGTTCGTTGCCTTTATAAAACCATCATAAATCAAAGTGGATGCCAAATGGTTACTGAATTGTTACTTGGGAATTCTCGCATATCAAATATCATTAAATAAAAATACAATTTACAGCAGCCTAAGTGAGATAAGACAAATATATTCTGGATTTCTTTTACTGGTGAAGATTTTCATGCAGATTTGTGGTTCCACTTGTATACCTCTGATAAAATAGTGGTTACAAGTATCTCAGATAGAAAACATTATCTTAAAAGATCAATATCGCTGAAACTTCCACCAAATTAATGTTTAGAGTTTCCCTCATTTTAGGTAATTTCAAAATGTATTATCGAGGGGTCTAAAACAAAAAAATCCCTGTTTTACGTATGCACGGACAACGAGACTAACTCAGAGAGTGCTCAGTTGATTGGAGAAATTTATAAAACCGTACACTCCCGATTACAAGTTTAAGGACACCTCCAAAAAAAGTTCAATTTTCATTCTTTTTAGAACATTTGAAAGATTTGAAAAGGAAATACGAACAGGAAAAATGCTCAATATCATTTTCAAGTTTTGTATACCAAAAGTTCACCCAAAGTTACACTATTTTTTTTTTAAATTTACTCAGAAGAATCTTGATTAATTTTCTTAGAATTGACTTGAAAAAAAAAAATAAACGTAGTATACCCTTATGCTATACCATTCATACCATTCAAATAACCTAAGGAGATCAAAAATTGGACGTAAAATGAGAGAGCTTTCAACAAAACACATTTCCATGTTCACCATTCGGAAGAACTTTGCCGCATGTACAACTTTGACGATGACAGTTACTTCCTGACCTTAAACTATATATATATAAATATTTTACATGCACCCTAGCGCCGCATAGCGAAAATATTCTGAACTATTTACTGTTCACCAGCAAAAAAGCTTTGATCTCCTAAACAACTTCGCCGAAGACAATAATTTTCTAGCTGTTCGGGATCTCGAGATCTAGAATATGCGAGAAGTTTACATGTATACTAACGCCACGTGGTGAGAAAATTCTTAACTACTGTTTACCAGCCAAAAAGTCTTGACCCCCAAAACAACGTTGCCGAAGACAGCGACTTTCTATCTGATCAAGATCTCGAGCTATTGAATATACGAGAAAGGCACGTATATACTAGCGCCGCAAAGTGAGAAAATTCTGAACTAATGTCCACCTGCGAAAAAGCCTTGACCTCCTGAACAACTATGCCGAAGAAAGTACCTTTCTATCTGGTTGGGAACTCGAGGTATTTTATATCAGATTTCCACAAGCAAATTCTGATATGCTTTGACCTCCTGAAAAACTTTGTGACAGACAGTAACTTTCTATCTGGTCAGGATCTCGAGATAAATCTCATGGGAAAATTTCACATACATACTAGCGCTACGTAGTGAGCAAATTCTGAACTACTGTCCACCAGCGACAAGGCTATGATCTCCTGAACAACTTTATCGAAGACAGTAACTTTCTATCTGGTCAGGATTTCGATATAATCCATGTTGTAATCAATTAAGTCAAATCCCACTGTAATCAAAGTTTAGCTTGTTTAGATCAAAACAAATTTTTTGAGGAATACTAGTTGGTTTCAGATCGATTGGTAACTCAGCAGCAAAATGGCAATGGAAAATTCATGTGTGTTGTACAAAGTACAACAGCGCGAGTAACGGAGGATTAAACTGAAATGATTCTTTGACAGTTCGCTTTAAGTATTCATTCACAAGTGGTTCACGATTGTGTGACGCAATGTATTGAGGCAAATGAATCAATTAATGAATAGTTAAGACTCAAGCAGCTCAGTTAGAAATGGTTTATGAACCAGATAAACAAAAATGTATCGAATGAACCCATTCAGATAATTTTGAACCAATCTTGCTCATATTGGTTCATGACTCATTTGCGTTATTGTGTGCAGAGTTAGTTTTCTTTGCTCATTGATTTCTTGTATTACATTGAATCACAGAAGTTCAAATTCAAAATCATGGCCCCTTCGTTTACCATGACATGACTGGTAGCGGTCCTTATCAGTAAATTGAAATCTTATCACTCCTAGAATACCCACTAGACTGATGCAAAATTTGACATTTTCGCTCCACAGTGCTCAAACGGTTTCAAATCAGGTCCTGATTAGTCTCCAAAAAATTTAAACTCATTTGGTAAGAAACTGACTTGGCACAAACTATTCGAAGTTTGTATGGAAAGTACTATGGAAAAACCAAACTTGTTGTTCATTGTCTTCTACCCATTTTCCATATTGCTTTTTCGAAAATTTCTAAAACTATGCTTACGGGAAATTGTCTAAGCTACAACTTTGCGGTATACTGTTTTTCAGCCAAATGTCAAATTGAATTGTTATTAATTGCTTAAGAGATTGATAGTCTTATGGCATGATCAAGCAGCTGTTCTGTGGGTAACACTGTATTCTGCAGTGTGGCTACTATCATGATATTTGTGCTCTATTCTTCGCACCAGAAACACCAATGTTGCCTGCTGAACAGTTGAATGAGCATAATCATCAGACATCAGTGATATCAGTGATCAGTGATGAGGTAAATTGTTAGATAGATATGAACAAAAACATAAGTTTTCCCATAGTAATTCCCATATAAACTTGAAATGGTTTGTGCCAAGTCTGTTTCTTACTAAAGTAGTTCAAATTTTGGAAGGCTAAGCAGGACCCAATTTGGAACCGTTTAAGCACTGTGGAGCGAAAATGTCAAATTTTGCATCAGTCTAATACCCACTGTGCATCGAGCACGATGATCCAAAGCCTACTAATTCGAACATAGTGTCACGGAGGCAGCCGCCAGCTGTGTGGCTAGCAGCAGCGATCATTGGGGGTGGTGAATCATATCACCATCGCTCACTCGCGCGCGCACCTCATATCGTCCCGCCGCACTCACATACCCGATCTTCAGGTTAATCCAGCAACAACAGCAAAAGTAGCAGCAGCAGCAGCTTCAGGGTTTGTTTGGAATTAAGAATTACGCAAAGTACAATCTTTTATATATGCGATTCGGTGGTGTCGATTTGTCATCACTAGTCAATCTCCGTTCAGTTGAGTAGGTTGTGTTTACCTAAACGGGTGGACTCTTTCGGTCCGTAGGAGTTTTCGGAGTGTGTTTGATTGTGGCTTTGGGAAAATTGGAGCACGTTACTGTTTTGCGTTGGAAGAATGGGTGTGCTGAAAGGATTCATCAAGTTCAACGGCTACACGGTGGCTGTTACGTGCATAAACTACTCGCTGACGCGAGTGCTGGAGTCAAATCTGGAGGGGAAAATTCTAGACAACTTTTCCTGTAAGTATTGAAGCTTGAATCGTGGCATAGGATGATATTCAAGGACTAATTTAAAGGACCATTTTAGGGTTGAAAACTTTTCTAGCAACTGCGAGTCAACCGTCATCGATATCGTACATAGGCCTGCTAATTGCCAGTATTACGCTATTCCTAGGAATATTCTGGGTAAGTCGAACCACTCCTTGAAGGAAGCCAGCCGATCGTTAACACATGATCTCACCCCCGCAGGAATGCAAGGCCTTAATGATCCCATTTGTGATCGCCTACATGGAAGTGCTGTACGAGGAGACGGATGGTACTTTTCTAATGGCAAAGCTGTGGGAGGTGATATTCACCTTTTACGCGGCACTCAGTCTGTTGATGCTGTTCTCGATGGGAATATGTACCTGCTGTAGCGGTAAGGACGACCGTGGAAAACCGAAAAATTCTTGGATATCCCAGTGCTGTTGGACGTTCTGGTGCTGCCGATGCTGTCGCCGAGGTCGTGAAGTTCATCCGGCTTTCGACGCCAATTCGCACTGTTCGTGTGAGACGCTGAACATCAGAACAGCCGGACCAGACGATAAGCACTATCATCGGGTGATATTCGTGTAGGCGGAATTGGCACGATGACGACGGTTTTTGATGAAACAGTATTTTGTTAATCAGCAACGAGCCCGATGACCAAAGAGTTCAAGCCAATGATGCGGACAGTGGGTAATGGCTCGGTTCAATGACACAACCATACCCATTCCTCGGAGGATTGATCATCGAACGATGAGCCAGCGATCTTGAGCGGATCCTGGTTTCGACGAAAACGATTACTTTTAACATACGAGTAATGATCCCACCTTTTATGTAAGACAAAGAGAGAGCCTACGAGTGGGTCATTAGAGTGTATTTAGGCGAGCGAACGAAGTTGCCATGAAGTGATTTGTGAAATTAGTGATGCTTAGAAAGTGATTTAGAAAATTATATGCAGCAAATCAATCCAGAGAAAATATAGCAATTGTTAAGTGAGCAACAACACAAGGACGATCGGATGATTTCTGTGAAATCCAGTCCTTTAGGGTGCAAATATTTATATGTGAATTTAGATGTATTTACAAACTGCCTATCTCCTACGAATTATTTCCATCAAACTGAAACTGCTATTTACTCAGTAGGGAAAATCGAATAAAACTTGAAGTTTCAAAAAAATCGAACTCCTTTTTCCAACAAGCCAATTAAAAATGCATTTTTCAAGATCCCGCCCATCCAATCAGTCAATTAGTCACAGAGATTTAATGATTGGAATTAACCGAAAGGTTATCATTCCCCGTGAGTCATCTGAAAAACAATCGCTACATATGTAAGAGCAAGGCACAGGTGTGAAGCGATTCCTACAACAGGCGAATGACAATTAGTTTATGACAGCTTTGCGAGAGATGAGGTATTTTTTTTTTGCTGAATGTTTATTATTTTGAATCGATTTCCATTGGAAATCGCGGGTGCTGTGGCAGTGTGATGAATTGACGTGATTGATGATCATAGTAATTAAGTGCGAGAAGCTTCTTTAAACAAACATTCAAGCACGACTCACCTGTCGTAGGTAAGTCAATATTTGCAAAATCAATCCACAGTTGGAGGGAGAGCGAGAGAGATCCTCAGATTAATGCAAGTTGAATGGGGACGTTTTGAAATCAAGTAGAGTACTTATATATCCCTACCCTTGGTCTAATATGAAGCCTGCAATAACAATGCCGTATCTTATGTAATAATTGAGCTGCAGTCGATATTTCACTGTGAACATGCAAGTTTGGATTTTATTACTATTTGGATATTAATTAGGCACGACTGAAAATTGTAAAACTCACAATTTTAACCTGAAATCTTTCCAGCTGCGTGGATGTAATGTCGGTCTGCATGGATGCAACTCGAAGATGAACCTCGATCTGCAAAGGTAAGGCATGTGAAATCTCGCTTCTTTTTCACTCCTTATCATTCATACGTAACCACATTGTTGCCATCACTATCACTTCTTGCGTAAAATATGATGAGGAAGGTTAGCGAAAAATTATTTTCTCCATTGTGTATCGTTGCATAAACACGTTAGCAATTAATGAGAAGTCTAGACTAACATTTGAAAAGGGTGTAACTCCAAAATGACCATATCGAAAAAATCGCTTCCGAATTTTGATGACCTAAAAATTAATCCTATTTCACGGCTTTCCATTTTCTGGATGATTTTATAAGCTTGACATATAGTTAATAGTGTAATCTATCATCATGCATCACTAAAAACAAATTGTCGTGAAATTGGGAATAAAACATCATACGCTCTGATAATTTCTTACATGCTGTTACCCCTCGGATCTTCCATCCTTTGAACTACCAACACAGGTGATACGCCGTGGAAATACACCCTCGGGATTTTTGTTGTTGTTCCGCCTTGATTCTTCGTTCGCAAATTTTGTGAGAGTGGAATTAGGCCCGGAGATTGTTTGGTCTTCTTTTTGTTCGTTGTTTACACGTGAATTATCAATCGGATGCATTTCAAATGAATCGGGCGTGACTAGATACTACAGAATAAGTACGTTTGGCATATTAAAACAAAATAATTCATAGTTCTGGTGCAAGGCGTAACAACCAGATACATCATAGAGTTGAAAGTTCGTTTGAAATTCGCCATGTAAGTAGAAACGTTTTTGATGATTTGAAGTGATATTTTCTGCTACACACTTAGAAAAATTGATTTAAATTTAGGTGCTCTGAGACTGACATATACGAGCGTCAATATTGACATAAAATTGAATCATAAAAGACGCGAAATTCAGCTCAATCAAACGTACTTTCAAACTTTTCAGTCTGGGAGCACTTAATTTGACATGACCTGTTTGTTTACGTCTCATCCTTTATGTCAAAGATGGATTCCGTCAAGTGTAAGATTAGGTATTTCTAAGTGTGTACTTTTTCGTGTTTTTCTAGTAGTTTGTGAAATGTTCTCTCTATATGTGGCGAAATATGGTTTATTTACATTTTGGAGTTACGCCGTTTTCTAATGTTAGTTTAGAAATGGAAATCTCGTTAAGGTGATTTCTTGTAGAGTCCACAAATGGCGACCACGTAGGCTATACATGACTTCCACTTCAAATTTTCAATTACACACATTGTAAGGAGGATCCTGGTAGGGCCTCCAAATTCCGACTTATGCGCCAGACGACGAGAGTCGTCTGCCAGAACTCAAGGTTGGATTGCCCAGCTAGCTCTTTTTCAACCCCACAACGGAATCCACCTCCTATAATGTCCCAATACCTTCCAAAGCTTCCTTCCCAATTTCCAATCCCAAGAGTTCCTTAAATTCGAATTATAGTAGGTATTCCGATTCAATAAATTGAAACTAAATTTAAAGTTTTGATTGAAAAATAATAGAAAACGATTTATCTCTCATGCAATAAAATGGTTTAATTGAAACGCTTAAATTTTGAGTCTAATAAAAAAGTCTATAAAAGTTGGATTTATGTTTGCATGGTGATTTCCTTAAAACCTTCCCTTTTCCTACTTTCTCCTAACGGGTGACGTCATTCAGTAAGTGTGTTCCCTGAACGTGAGTCAACCTACTTGCAATAGATTCCCCCCATTGCTTCCCCTACTAATATAATAGTTTGCCCTACTAATGCTGGTGGTGGGGTGTGTTCGTGTGGGTACTAAAAAGCGGTTCAGGTACTTACAGGACTCGTCGTTGATCGGAGGTTACCTGGTCGGCCAACGGCTGGTTGACCGAGAACGACTCATAGGCCCATGCGGTTCGAACGGAGCGGGACTTCGGTGCTCTCTAGCACCAGGAAAGTGATTCGCGGCTTCTTCAGGCTACGTCGGAGATGTGCACTTGATTGCTGGGCTCTGATCGGGACTGGTCAATACCTTCTACCCGGGACGTGAGTCTGGGCGATTCTCTCTGGCGGTGGCAAGCTTTCCCCGTACAGATTACTCGCGGATTGTGGCAACCACGTTGTAGCGGAGTGGTGCTCGCGAGGCCGAACTTCCTTCACCGATGACCACGCTCTCTGCAACTATTCTTAGCGGCACGCAGCCGCGAGGCGAAGAATAGTCCCAGGGGATCGCCCCCAGTCTCACCGATAGCACGCGGATAGCTTTTTGGATGCTGTTGAAGCCGTAGCTAGGAGAAACTTCCAACCCGCACAATCTCCACGAAACGCACTCGCCAAAACCCCAATGGTGCACGTGTTCACGTGTGGTGACTCACGTTTTTTTTTAACTGCAATGTCTGATTTCTTATCAGTTCTTTTATTTGGACTCACGTTTTCTTCCCTATTAAAATTTTATGATTAGTTTTATATACTGCAATCAAATTCACCACGCGCTTACTTTACAGGATTTTCAAGTTATTCACGACTCACGATTTTTTCTTAATTTATCAATTTACTTTAAATAAACTCTGGAAATACATAAAAACTATAAATTACTATTCAATTCAATTCACTGCACTTCTTGCTTTTAAATTACTTTTCAATTGATTAACTATCACTCCGAATTTAGCTTCGATATTCACTTGTAAAAATGTAGACTTTACTGTTCGGCGGTCTGAACGGGAAAGATCGAGCGGGTGCTCTTTCTTGATCCAGAAGCCTCAATTTTCCTATTTTCCGTTTTTATTCCGGTTCTGATTTCTTGATTCTAAAATTATATATTCTAAATTTTCTTCGCGATTTGATCGGTAAGTTGACCTTTTGATCACTGACGTGTAAACCCCACCCACTTAACACCCATCATTACTGATTCGAGCACATTGGTTGCCTACCACGAAGGCGCAAATTTAAATCACAAATAGGGTTCTTTATGAAACGACGGTGAGCCCGTTTCACATTTAGTTCTTTTCATTGATCAATTATCTATTATCTCAGCTCTTTCCGTTTTTGAATTGTAGGCGTACTAAATTTGTAGTAATTTTTTCAAAGAGAAAGTTGATTAGTTTTAAGCTGTAAATAGTAGTATTAAGTAGTTTCTCTTCAAATTCTAAAAACAAAACAAACCAATCCCACCAAGGTGGTCGACCGTGTACTAAGTCTAGGACTAATTCTGTAAAACAAATTTTGAATTTTGCCCATACCTAAAGATGAAGAAAGCAATTAAATCACTTAGTAAAAAATTTATATGGTAATCGTCCAAGTTAAACTAAAATAAAGATCATTTAAACTAAAAAAAACTGGTATCAGCTCATTTTCGCTTCGGACGGCGTGGTGAGCAATAGTAGCAGTAGGTCGTGGCAAAGGAGGTGCCAATCGTCATCGCAAATTCTTCGAGATAACCACCATCCGTCGTCTGGCTCGCCGTCGCAGTGTCTGACGTATCTCCGATCTGATCTACGAGGTGTGCTGAAGGTGTTCGTGGAAAATGAGGTCCGTGATGCTGTCACCTACACTAAACACGCCAAGCGTAAGTGGCCATGGATGTCCTCTTCAATAAAACGGCCCTTTTCAGGGCCATCAAGCTTACATAAGTAAAGAGTTGGAATAGAATTTATCTATGCTTGTTTGTCCATATTCAGAACCACAAGCCCCCAACGACCACACAAACTTGGAAGCAGAGGTGCAAGTGATTTTGATTGATTCAGGGTGGCCAGCAAACCGGGAAATCCGGGAATACCGGGAAATATCCGGGAATTTGGAAAGTAACCGGGAAAACCGGGAAAAACCCGTGAATTCTGCAAGAGAACCGGGAAAATAAATTAACCATATCATAGGAACAAATTTTTACATCAGAATTTCAGAATAAACCATTAAAACAGAGTGATCCTTTAGCAAATGAGTGTCTTGCTCTATTTGTCGCATAATTTTCTTCAGTATACCGTCTTATTGTTTTAAGAATTTAATCACTCAGCAATATTGCAAATTGATTTTTGTCGTTTGAATTTCAGATGTAAAGTGCATGGTCCTCTAAAGAAAATATTGAAGATGCTGGAGTTTGGAAACAAATATTTGTAAAAACCGAAACTGAATTATTCTTTTCCGGGGTTTTAATTTTTCGTTGTTCAAAATTCTCATGATGAATTCCAGAATTAACTTGGAATTCTGCTCTGAATTAGCTTGAAATTGTTCTGAAATGAAACAGAAAACACTCCGCGTAATAATTACCGTTGAATTCTTTTAGGAATTTTCTTCCAACCCCTTCTAAGAATTTATTGGAATCCTTCATATAATTCCCGTTCCCGCCTATCCGGAGACTTTGATTCCTTTAAAAATCTTTTCAAACATTCCTTTTAACTCTATTCAAAACAAAAGAAATCTTTCGAAAATTAATTTATAAACCTCTTGGAGTATTTTAAAGAATTTCTTTCTAATTATCTGCAAATTTTTCGGAATCAATTTTGTTTGGGTTATGTGATGAATCATTCGCACTAGGGTTGAAATTATTGCCAGAACATTTTAAGAACTCTGTTTCTTGTTGAATTCCGATCATAATTCTCTTGGAATTCTTCTTAAAATTCATCTGTCATGTTCCTCACGATGCCCATACAAATCTCATCAGAACCACGTAGGAATTTTCTGCAATGTTTTATTTTTATTTTCACAATTCTTTTTTAAATCTACTAAAATTACCTAACAGTTTAATTTAAAACTTGCATTCTTCTCCAAAGAAATCCTTCCAAATTCATCTAACAATTTCTATGGATTTCATGTAAGAATAATTCTGGAAATCTGCTCTTCTCCTTCGAAAACTGTGTGGGAATCCTTCTCAATATTTGTTTTTAATCAACACTTTGAATTCTTTTAAATTTTACTAAAAATTCCAGGGTTTGTCCG